GGAGATTCATATTCAGTTTTCCTTGAAAGAGACATGATTGTTGTATTATCATTTGGGCTAGAAATTTGGGGCGTTACAGAAATGAGTTTGATTTGAGAGAGTTAAATTTCTGTGATATATGGGAAGGGACCTTAAACATCATAAAAAAATATTATGGACCTTTTTCATTACCAAAAATGAGAGAGGAACCTTAGACTAATTTTCCCTTTTGAAATTGTAATAAAATTTAGTATCCTAAAATAAGAAGTGAATAAATATTTTGAGATAGATCAAAATATAAAAGTAAACAAATAAAATGAGGCGGATCAAAATAAAAAATAAAAAATAAACAAACAAATAACTTCCGGTGGAATAGATCACAGTCTGTGCGTTACTAGAGCTGAGCGAGGAATCCATAAAATTCGTAATCAGTTTCGGATTGAAAAATTAAAAATTTATAGTTCACGAATTGATTTCGGATTGAACCGATTTAGATCGTATACAAATAGCCTATATTTATATTATACAATAATATCTTCTCTTATTCCATATAAAACCTAAACCCAATCTAAACTCGTATAGTATCTTTTGTTTGTTGGTTTTTAGTTTTAATTTGTAATGGTTTAAATACTTATAGTGGAACCAATTTTCTTATAGTTGTTTAAAATTTAGAACAATATGCCGCTATTTTGAAAATACATGTTGTTATTGTGGAACTAATATGATACTATGTTTATACTTTTATGAAATTAAAATGTTATATATCTTTTTATTATTTAATTATATGAATTCGTGGGTCCAAACCAATCCAATCCGTGTTTAAATGAATTGATTCGGATTAATTCCACAATTTAAACGGATTGAATTGTTTTAATTTTTTAAGAGCCATAAATAATAAATTAACAACAATGATTCATCCCCTTTTCCTCTCACCCCCTTTGACCCTCTATCTCTCTCATTGGTTACATTTTCTTTTTTTTTCTATTTTTTCCTGCTCCTCCAATCATCACCCGCCACGTGACAAAGAAGGTGATGGGTGAGGGGGTGACCCCCAAAAGGGGGCCCCAAACATTATTCATAAATTAATTCTAATTTTATCCCAATCTAAACCAATCTAAACCATACTTACTCCTGTCCCTAACCGTAAGAATGCCCACTTTTCGCTATTCGGAGATAGAGAAATGAGAATATGCTTCAAAATCCTGTGCAGAAATGGCAGATTCTTTTTATCCAAATTCTACGCATAATTTGGTGTGGCTGCAAAATTTTCTATATTCTACTTTATTTGTGGTCATAAAATCACCACACGTTTACTTTTCAATAAATATCTACTTTTCCCTAGCTTTTACAGATTTTTTTATAGAGTTCATATATAAAATATTTTTGATAAATATAGACAGAATTACATCTAAACAATAATAAATTATCAATATTTTTATTCCAAAAAAATTATCTCAAAGTTTCTAATGTTCTAACTCAGTTGTAATGGGAGGTAACTGAATTAGTTTAGTTTGTTTTTGAGATTTTTAATTTAAGATTATAGTATTAAAATTTTATAAGATAAAATTCATATAATATTTTTATAATTATTGGGATCTCTTAGAAAAAATTTCAGCTATTAAATTTCTTTTTTCACAAAGACGAGAGATATTTCATTAATTTTCTCTTAATTTTTTTGGTACAATTTAATGTATATTAAAAAAATTAATCAAATTTTTTAGTAATAATGGTCCTGCCTTACCGATAGCGATTTTTATTTTTATTTTTTATAAACAACGGCCGAAGCCAAAGCACAAAAACACACAAAAATTACAACCGCACAATCCAGGAGGAACCAGTTGCCTGTAAATCAAAATCCAACGCATGATTATTATAATTCCTGTCCAATGGGAGCCACTGTATGTCTTAGGTGTTAAGCAAGACAAAACCATAGCTTAACTAACAAGAAAACGAAAAATAATAAAAACTCAAAATCAAATTTTAGTATGTTGTTATGTCAAAATATTATAATTTAATAATTTTATTTTCCGAATGTGTTTGGTTCTTTGCAAAGTTTAAATCATTAGTATTTTCTTATCTAAAAAATAATAATAAGATAAATTATAAATACATTCTTTAAAATTTATTTTTAAAAAAATTATTTTTTGTGATTTAAAAAATTAGAAATATTCCTTTGTTCTAATTTTTTATTTATCAGAATTAATTAAAAACATGAAATTTTTAACTGCTCTTATATACAATAATAAAATTATCTAAATTATTAATTGAATTATATTTCAAATATCATTAAAAATTGTTAATTAACTTGATAATTTATTAATAAAATGAGTCATTTGTTATGAAATTAGAAATCTCAAATGTGGGATGTAATTTCTAAATTCACAAGGGATGATTTGTATTTTTAGCAAATTTCAAGAGATGTATTTATAATTTACTCAAAATAAATAATTTTATTCTAATAATGTAAATACTTTTTTTTTCCTTATAAAATGTCAAAATAAAAAATTATTTACGTAAAAGTGCATAGGCTTTGTTAAATTTGACATAAAATATAATAAACAATAGCAAGAGTTTTGATTAGAGAAGAACCTTTGCTGAGCTTACCATACAAAATTAGGAGTTTTCTTAAGTGTGCAAGTGCACACCATGTGCCACTTACACAAAAAGTGTAAGTGTAAGGTGTAAGTATAAGTATAAGGTGTAAGTGTAAGGTGTAAGTGTAAGGTGTAAGGTGTAAGTGGGTTGCACATGGTGTGCAACCTCAAAAAAGGTGTAAGTGTAAGGTTTAATTTTTTACAAAAGGTGTAAGTGTAAGGTGTAAGTGTAAGGTATAAGGTGTAAGGTGTAAGTTGCACACCATAACCAAACCCACAAAATTAAAGCTAAGTTTCGTATTTTTGAGTGTTTGATATAATAAAAAATAAAAATCAATAGAAAATATTTTTGATGATCAATGAAAAAAAAAAAATTTATTTGATCAAAAATTAATTTTTATTTTTAAAGGTAAAACATATTTTTCAAATTAAAATTTAATCAACACCACCATCACTACGGTGAACGATACCATCACCATCGCATCACTACTATCGTCGCTCCACCACCATATCACCTAGGGGTAAGCAGCAAATATTTCGATCCACCCAAACTAACTGAACCGAACTGAACCGATCCGCCGTATTTTGAACGGATCCATGATGGCGAGTGGACGGTTGTAGATTGATTTTTTCCAATCGTCTAGTTTTGGACGAATGACGAATCTGAGGTTTCTTTGGTAACAATCGAACCGTCAAACCTCGAGCACTCCTAGTAATTTGAAAAATTTTGTGTTTTCAATATTTAGATATTATGTTTATGTTTTCAATTGAAAATGACTTTAGATATTCTGTTGTGTTTTCAATTTGAAAATCTTTTTATTAAATGAGAAGTGTTGATATTTATTATTTTTGTGTGGAAAAATAAGGTTTAATTTTGTCATTTTAAAAAAAATTAAATTAAATAGTCTTTGAATTAAAAAAAAAGTAATGAAATAATTTTGATAATGTATAATTTTTTTATATGTATTTATTATTAGTATTTGACAATTTATTTAATAAGCTTTTAGTATGTAGAGTTCAATTGTTATTCAAAAAAATATGTTGATAATTGTTGTATTATGTGTAAAATTTGTAAAAGTTTAAATCGCCAAACCGATTCTCATCCATCCGTCAATCTAGAGAACGAATACAAATTAATTTTTTCTACTCTACGAATCTGGCGAATAAATAATCGAAACCGAACCACGAACACCTCTAATACCATCACCTCCACATCTATTATCGCTTCATCACCAATAATATAAAAAAATATTTTATCAGAAAAAAAAAAATCATAAAAAATATAAACAAACGGAACGTAAATCGAACCGACATCACAATTTTTTTATAAATTTTTGAATCCATAAGTTTGTTGATTTCACTATCATGACCCAAAAAAACAGAAATGAAAACCCATTGGAATCATCTGGTAAAGAAGATCAACACGTTTCTATCGGATTAACATCCTCTTCTTCATTTCTCTTCTTTAACTCTCTAGTTACTAAGTTATTAAGCTCACTTTTGAGTTTAATTTTAATAATTTAAATGGTTCACATTTTAAGATTTGTTAAATATATTATATTTATAAAAAATTAAATTGATCAAATATTAGAAACTATGTGTTTGAATCATTAAACTACAAATTATTTTTTTAAAAAGTTTAATAAACAGTTTTCCGAACATATACTTTCTGATATTCGATCAACTTGATTTTTAACAGGTATGATATACTTAATAAATTTTATAAATTGTTCACATTTTAAGATTTGTTAAATATATTATATTTATAAAAAATTAAATTGATCAAATATTAGAAACTATGTGTTTGAATCATTAAACTACAAACTATTTTTTTTAAAAGTTTAATAAACAGTTTTCCGAACATATACCAGAATATTCGATCAACTTATACTTAATAAATTTTAAAATATAAAAGGTTCGAATCTTTAAAATTAGACCCAAAACTAAGTCCAATAAGCTAACAAGTAGAGAGTTACGCTGTGTTTAATTAAAAAATTTAAGGAAAGATTTGGAAAGAAAGAAAAAATTATGAGTAAATTAGATAAAATATAAACATATTTTATTCACATTTCATTTATCTTTTTTATTTTTTTTTTTCAAATCCCTCGCCACATCTCCCAATCAAACACAGCAAAGAAAGAAGTGAAAGAGAAACCTTGATTCGTTTCTATCTACCAGTTTGCAATCGAAGCTGTCGGTCCACTATTACGTGTTCTCTCTATAACATTCTCTCTCATATCTCTCTCTCTATATATAATAATTACATCGACCCGTCAAATCTCAAATCAAGTAAAAAAATGGCATTTAGAAGACACCCACATCCACCGCCACCGGATCCTTATGGTCCGCCACGGCCGCCTCCTCCTCCACCAGGTTTATACGGCCCATCGCCGCCGCCACATCGTCATCGTCCCGATTACTGGTCTCCTCCTCCTCCTCCTCCACCGCCACATCACCATCATGGACCACCCGGTCCGCCACCACCGCGTTATGGACCACCTCCCGGTCCACCTCCGCCGCCGTATTTCGATCCCTACAGGCCACCCCCACCTTGGCATCGCCCTCCACCGCCTTACTAAGTCTCTGCACACCCACCCAGCTAATATATCCTCATGTGGGTTCATATAATCTGATCATTCTTAGTGGAAGAAAAATAGGTCTTGTGTTTTTGGTTCTTTCTCTATCTATGCACTTCTTGTTCTGTCCCCTTAATAGATATAAAAGTTTGGGGCATATATAACTGTTCAATTCTTGTTGCTTTAGTGCTAGTTAAGGTTGTTGTTGTTGCTTGTACACGATGTTTTCTTCTTTATCGATCAACTATGTGTGTTCAATTTTTGTTAGTTTCTATTAATACATTTTGTTAGCTTTTCTTGATATTCTGTGAATGATTTTCCTGCAGAATATGTGTATGTGTGAGTGTGATGTTCCACTTTCTTGCTGAGAATTTGGAAGGGAAAAAGTTAAAAAACCAAAGAAACAAGGAAAAACAGAGCAAAAGAAAATAAACCCACTTTTTTTTTTCCTTCCTCCGTTGTGAGTGGTTCGAACAATCAAGTGGATCAATTCGCAGTGTTTATTTTTTCTTCTAATTCTCCTTGATCACTAATCAAAATGGACAATTTGATTAATCAAGTACTGTATTTAGTTCTCAATTGTGGAAATGACACTAAATTAAACTGCAAAACAAGCCAAAACAAAATACTTTCTACAGTATTGTACATTTAGTAAGAGCAAATATACATAGCAATTAAGAGGCAATTATCAGAGTGTTAAGAGGCAATTATCAGAGTGTGAAGCTTTCGTAACAAAAATTCTCAACTTTATTGCAATTACAATGTCCAACTCATTTGGTGTATGAAAAACAACATCTCAGAAACATTTCTTCATTCAATTGGATTCATTGAGAGCTGGACATTTCTCCGTCAACACCCTTTCCCTTGCCTTTGTTGCCTGCACCATTATCATATGCAAATGTCAATTTCTATGTTTAGCTTAACAACCCAAACATCTCACCATCCCATTTTTACTTTCCCAGAAAATACAGCAAAGAGAGGAAAATTTGAACTTTACAACACTCCTTGCACTCGCAACTGAAAATAGTTATTACATTCCAAATTACCCTTTCTTTTTCTACTGCATTCTCAGCAACCAAAGTCAGTGCAAATGAAGAAGACTACAAATGAGAAGTTTAATCAAAGAACCTGTTTTTGCCAATCTGTTAAACTCGTTATAATAGAAAGCAGGATGAATTGCATGGTAGGCCCTGTTGTCAATCCCATCCAAATGCCCTTTCCACCCAAATGTAAAACAAAACCCAGTATAAGAGCTACCGGCATTGCAACCAGATAAAATGCTCCGAGATTCACATAAGCCCCTATATGTTGCCACCCACTTCCTCTCGCAACCCCTGGCAAAAGAAAGAACATAACATGTCAGGGTATTATGACTAACAGTAGCCTATTTTAGGCATTTCAATTTTGAGAAACAAACATAAATTGAGAATAATTATTAAGTTGTAATTCTATCATAGTGCTCTTCAAATCTTTCAATATAGCCACATGTATAATTTGTCACGTAGAGAGCTGATTTACTACCCATAATAGGAAATTTGAGTATTGGAGCAACTTCAGCAGCCTCACATCTATCGTACTAATGCCAAAATTTGGCACGATGGGTACAAAAAAAATCCACTCCAACAATGTGCTTTTCTACAAAAAAAATATGGCTCATGGAAGCAGGGAGATTACCAGAAAGAACTGCTTGAAAGCTGTCCATGAAGATTGAGAGACAAAGAAGAGGAGTCATGTCTTTGACGTAGTCCACAACTTCTTTATCGTCACTGTATGCATGTCCCAGAATATTGCGGCAACAGAACAAAGTAGTGGCAGCAATTGTTGCCTCTGCAGCTTCAAGAACCATTACAGCCCAAACAGCCAGTCGAGCTGCCTGTGGATTCCCAGCTCCTACCTCATTTGAAACTCGAGTACTACAAAATGTTCAATGTGTTCTTTTCAGTTGTGCATAACATATTGCATACATGTATAAAAATGTAAACAGTATAGATGAAGTTTATGTACAGAGAGAACAGTTCATAAAGCAGACCTTGCAGCAGTGCCAAAGGAGTATGGTATGTAATAGTGCAACGAAGCAGTTGTGAGGCTGCTTGCAAAGAGAGTGAGAAATCATAAACAAATCAATTGAAATTTCGACATAATCAAATAGACAGGAACAGAAAAAGAAGCAGACCATATAGAAAGAACTGAAGTCTCAAGTTTGGCATTTGGTAGAAGTCCAGACAACAATATGAGAACCTCATAAGACCACCATTCAAGACTGCAATTATTGACACAAAAACAGTATATAAGTGGCCAAAAGAAAGAATGGCAAAATAGAACACCAAAGATCTTTCCAGTGATAGGAATACCAAACCATTACTGCAGAAGGGACAGCAAAGCGGAAGAACTGTCCAATACTTCGAAAAACATCTTTTGAGAAGGAGAGGCCAGTCTTTTCAGAGACCGGTGAACCCTTCAAGTAAAATCCGAGCAAGATCACATTCAACCAATATGATAAACCAATTGCAAGTGCAGCTCCAGTATTTCCCATATTCGACTTAAATACTAGAGCCCAACAAAGAGGTACGTGGAAACATAAAGTTACAACCGAGCATAACAGCATTGGAAGAATCAAGCTCTGAGTCTGTAGGTATCGGACTAACGATTGAAGAATGGCATAGGGAAACAGTGCAGGGATGAGCCACATTGCATACTTGCCGGCTTGGTGTGAGATTAAAGGGTCTTGCCCAATACTTACTAGCAGTTTGTCCATGAAAATCCACAGAAGAGATACAGGTAGACAAACAAGAATGAGAGAGACAATGGAAGCATAAGTATAGATTCCAAGCTTTTGATATTGCTCTGCACCATAAGCTTGGCCGCATAGAGTTTCCAATGCACCAGCCATTCCAAACTATTTGGCAAGTTCAATATCCCTCAATTAGTTATAGCATGATTCATCAATTTGGATTAATATACATGTATAATTTAACAAAAAAATATGAGTGGGTCAGAAATGACAGTCATCCAATGACACATGGTCATGTCATAACTTTGTTTATATATATTTTTTTTGAATAATAGTCATATGCCACCTATTATTATTAGATGAACACATAGTTCATAATATTCTCATAATAATTAAATACCATCTCCTAACGAACGTTTCAAACAAAGAAGCATTTTGGGATGATCTTATATGATAAGGTAAGATGATAAAAATAAATGAATGATTATTAGTGTATTAGACCATCTCCAACCCAAAACCTTTTGTTTCATGACATTTAAATTTGATGAAAACAGATATTTTTTGCTCCTCAAACCCTTTCACCAATAAGTATCAAATCTAGGATTTCTTAAATCTTTCATCAAATTGAGGATGGATGTACTTTTCATCAAATCACTGTTCATAATTGTTGGAATTGTAGGTCATTTTCATCACTGGAAAACTGGCTGACCACCTCCTTGCAAAAATTTGTGAAAAAGTTACACTGGCCAGTTGACTAGCCAGACATCTACTCGGTCGACTGATATTTTGATGAAAGTTCAAAATCTTCAATTGGAATGTGTGATATCAGACGGAATTTTTATTCAAATTTAATAAAAAATATACAAGATTAGAGATGTTCTTAATTAACCAAGTAATCCATCTCTCGTGAAATGACTTGCATAGGAGTTTGAGGACTTAGTGGAGACATTGACCGGTCAACGGAACAGTTGGGGGCTTAAAATCAAATTTAAAGATTTCATTTACATCAATTAGTTTTAAGAGAAATCATAGAGAGAACAAATTTATTCATTTTGTGTGAACATTACACATTTTTATTGGTGTATGAATGGAGTGGTCTCACTCTTCACATCATAATGAAACAATCATACTGAAGTGTAATGCTCACACATTCCAAAAGTGTGTGAATAAATTTTCATTCAATGATAGAAGTAGAAAGTATTTAAAATGTAGCAACTGGTGTATACGGTAGTGCAAGTCACAGATTTTGTTATGTAACAATTGATGTATATCGTAGTGCAAGTCACGGATTTGATATACACAAAGGGAAAATAAATTTGATCACACTCAATACATATATTATGATTATCTAATACAGTGAATTTAAACTCACCAAAGTTGTAGACGTTATTGTTTTAAACCAATCATAATATGTGTACTGTGATTTCTTGAGGGATTGCGAGGTATGATACCTGTTTTTTTTTTTGATCGAGAGGTATGATACCTTGTAATCAAATCATTGTGGAAAGGGAACTGCATAACCCCAGGGCTCAAAAGCCACTGACCTATTGGTGCAAATATCCTAACAATCTCCAATACTAAAACAAATTGAACCGTGATAAACGCTTGAGAAAGTATACAAAAGTAGTGTTATTGAAATTAAAAAACTAGACAGAAAAACTACACGGGGATTAGTTGAGGCAGTGCAGTGCCCCTAATACCCCTCCTAACCAACAAAACAAAGAAACGAGAAGAAAAAAAAACAAAAAAAAAAGGGAGAAGAAAGAAACGTAATAGCTACCAGGAGGCTGAAGCCTGTAACATTGGTGAAAGAGGAGGCGATTGCGGCGCTAGAAAGGGAGACTTCTCCGAGATGGCCTGCCATACTCATTGATACAACCTGCAACAGGTACTGAGACACAGTCACCACTACCATTGGCATCACTATCCAACCTACCTTCTTCACTTCTGCCACGTACACCTCCCATCTTCTTGACTCCACTACTCTCCTCTTCTCTTTGTCCTCTTCCACCAACAGTGCTTCTTCCATCACTCTCCTCTCTCTCTCTCCTAATTTCAGATTCAACAGACTAAAAAGAAGAAATTTCATTTAAATGAAACATTAAAGACATAAGACGTGTCTGTTTTGGGCTCACATTCATTAATATATGATTTGTTTGTAAATAAAAAATGGTTGTGAATGATTATAACTAAAATTATTATTTAAAGCCATGAGAAACAAGTGTTTGGACCCGCAACACCATTAATCAACACTCGACGCGTAAGTATATTTGCTTAGCCTTCGTTTGGGAGGTAAATTTATATTTTGATTTTTTTTTTTGGACTAAAAAGTTTATTTGAGATAAAATTTTTTATATTTTTATTTTTGTGAAAGAAAAAATGAAATGATTATGATTTAAATGTAATATTTTATCTTATTTAACTATAATAGTCAATTTTGCCCTATATAACTATTTTATCTCAAATGAACATGCCAAACATAACTTTAGTGCATGGACAAACCTTGGTTTTTTTTAAAGTAACTAGTTATTGGCACATATGATGTGTGTAATTAAAATAAATATAAATTAAATTAAAATTTTATTATATATAATATGTTATGTAAGTGGTAAGAATTTTATATATTAATTTCAAGGTTTAAGTTTTTGTAAGGATATATTTTCTGAGTACCAACACGTGGCCAAGGTGACGCCGACGTGTCAGTCGGGGTGCCACGTGTCCTGGTCGTGATGCCGAGGTGATCTCGGCTAGGCCGAGATTATCTCCGAAGATATCAAAATATAGGATAAGCGGATAAGGGACAAGAGCCCTAGAATGAGAAAGGACTTCAGCCTGGATAAGGATAAAGCTCTTAGGGAGTTTATCTTTATCTATTAGAGAGTCCAAGCTAAACACTGAGCAGAAGTCTATTAAAGGTAGGCTTTTATTTGGACTAGGATTATGTTGGCTATAAAAGAAAGGCACCCCCCATGAGTCTAAGGTAAGCAATTTATATTATGAACAGTCATTTTAGCACTTGATCTATCTTTGAGAGATAACTGACTTGATCATCGGAGTGCCCCCAAGTGGACAAACCATCGCCGGAATCTCTTCTTTCTGTTGCAGGTTACTCAGGTGCCATCTATTCTGCCAGTGCTGTCCAGTTGAATACTGAGTTGGCAGTGTGATCAGAAATTCATTCACACAATTTGGTGCCGTCTATGGGAAAGAAAGGAGAATAGATGGCCAACGACGGACAGAAAGAGAAGATTGGGGATAACACTTCTACTGGGAGTGGGAGACCTGTCGACCTTGACGTCGAAGAAGACAATTGCAACGAAGAAACTCGTGACCAGAATCACGGAGGAAAGGACGTTGGCCAGGAAGGCGACGTACCAAAGAAAACGGACCAAGGCGGGTACTACAACGAGGACGATCTCCAGGTATGGAAAGAAAGATGCCTGCGGAGGGAAGATGAGGTAAAGACCATGGCGAACAAATTGGTGGACCTGCAAACAATGGTCAATTTCATGATGCAAAATAACGTCATGTAGCCACTGTTTCCACTGCAGGACACGCCGATTCCAGCGGCCAATGCCCAGAAAGGAAGGCAGAAAACAATCCCTGTAGCCCCCCAGCACGCCAGAAGCGAAAAACACTCTCACTGGCCGTCAAGGGAGGTCGGGCAAGGAGAGTCGAGAAGAGAAGAATCTCGAAGGACACATCGCACCAAGGAGGCAGACCCTAGAGAACATCGGCATGTTCAAAGGCAGAAGTTGTGCTTCGATGCGACCAATGGAGAAAGATCTAAAAGGGCTCACAACGAAACTGAAAGTAGTGCACCTAAAAGACTGAAATCAGGAGGTAGCCAAGCTCTTGAGCGGACCAAAGAGGACTTGAGAGATTATCTCAAGAGGAAGCAACAAAATGCCGAGGTAACGTCCCCTGTTAAGCCGAGAACACCATTCTCGGTGGAGTTAGACAAAGTTGAGGCCCCGAAACGATTCAGTATGCCGAGGTTCCCGATATACGATGGTAAGTCGAACCCCAACTGTCACGTCGGTTTATACCTGAACTCGATGGCACTGTACACTGGAAACGAACCGTTGCTTTGCAAGGTGTTCCCCTCATCTTTCGGAGAAATTGCATCAAATTGGTTTCACAAATTGCCAAAAGGAAGTGTGAAGACCTGGGAAGGCCTGGCCGAGATGTTTGTGGCCAGGTTCGTGACAAATAAACTACAGCCATTAAGGGTAGACGCCCTGATGGCTCTGAGAATCAGTGAGGATGAAGGCCTTAGGGCCTACGCAAAAAGGTACTATGAGGTGTTCAACCGAATACCCGAGTGCAACCAAAAGGTGGCGGTCGTGTCTTTTAAGAACGGCCTGAAAGATAATTTTGCACTACGAAAGTCATTGGCAAAGACATTGCCAAAAAGTATGGAGGAGCTCATGGCCAGAATTGAGAAATATGCCAGAGCCGAGGAAGACACGCCAGGGATTAAGGCGACAAAGCAAGAGAAAGCAAACGGCTCGCCGATGCGAGGCCGAGGTAACAACGGATCCAATAAACAAGAGATAGGGCTAAGAACTGCACAGGCAGTCACAACTGTATTCCGAATCCCAATTCACAAAGTCCTGGATAAAATCCGAATCCAACCCTACTTCAAAGCACCAGCTAGGGTACAAGGAGAGTTTATGGGAAGAAGCCTTGGAAAGCATTGTGCTTACCATAATGAAGATGGGCATCTGACTCAGGGTTGTAGAGCTCTGAAGTCACACCTAGAAGACCTGGTAAGGCAAGGCCATTTGAGGGACCTTGTAGATGAGGCCAGGACAAGGAAAAAGCAAGCAAGACTTCCTCAAGCACCAGTAGCTCCACCACCCCCAGCACAGCAGCCGCAGGCAGACGGACCTCGGGTAGTTAATGTAATTCACTAGAAGGTCAATGAAAACGAAATACGGGGGGAGACCTAGAAGGTAAAGCACTTGCAGCATGTGTACCAGGTCTGACAGAAAAGACCTCGAGCCGAGGAGTTCCAGGGACCAGTAGTGTCCTTTACTAAAGCCGACCTGGAGATGGTACAACATCCGCACAACGATGCCTTCGTAGTATCCCTCCAGGTTGGGGAGTGCCAAGTGAAGCGCATCCTAATTGACCAAGGCAGCTCTTCTGACATCATGTATGTCAGATGTTACAAGGAGCTGGGCCTTCACCCAGACGATATGGAGCAATCCAATGGCCCAATGATCGGGTTCAATGAAATGCCGACGTGGCCACTGGGCGCAACAAGCTTGGAAGTGCAGGCTGGCACCAAAAAGATAAAGACAGAGTTCACTGTAATCGACACACCCTCCCCTTACAATGTTATCTTGGGAAGGCCATGGTTGCATGCAATGTGGGCTGTTCCCTCAACAATGCATCAGCTACTGCGGTTCCCAACAGAGCATGGGATAGAAGATGTCAGAGGGGACCAGCTGCAGGTAAAAAACTGCTCCATGGCAGCAATGAAATCCACCTGCAGCATACGAGAACCAGAAGGGGTGGAGATCGAAGACGAGGATGTGGAAGTCCTAGAGGACGTCGGTAAGGAGCAGCTGAGAAGAGTGAAGAAGCCCTAAAGAAAATCCTCGTCCAGTAGGGGGATGAAGAACGCTACTTCCTTCTCAGCTCGAGCTTAGCCGAAGAAGAGGAAAAAAAACTGGAGGCGTTCTTGTGAGCAAACATTGAAGTGTTTGCTTGGATGCCTTACGAGATGCTTGGCATTGACCCTGAGGTCACTTGCCATAAACTGAATGTAGACAGGTCGACCAAACCTATAATCCAATAGGCAAAAAGACTGACGTTGATGCATGTCGAGGCAATGGAAGAGGAAGTAGACAGACTTCTGGAAGCCAGAGCCATTCGAGAGGTAAAGTACCCGACATGGCTATCGAACACAGTGGTGGTGAAGAAAAAGAATGGTAAATGGAGGGTCTGCGTAGACTTTACCAGCCTAAATAAGCCTGTCCCAAATACAGTTTTTCTTTACCCAAGATTGACCAATTGGTGGATGCCACTTCAGGACATGGAAGGATGAGCTTCCTGGATGCCTACAGGGGGTACCATCAGATATCTATGTACCCACCAGATGAGGAGAAGACTGCGTTTATCACCCCAAAAGGGCTGTATTGCTACAGAGTGATGCCTTTTGGGTTGAAAAATGCCGGAGCAATTTACCAGAGTTTGGTAACCAAGATGTTCAAACATCTAATTAGCAGAACAGTGGAAGTCTACATCGATGACATGGTCGTGAAGACCAAAGAACCTGAGGGTCATTTGGCCGACTGAAAAGCAGTCTTTAATATCCTTAAAACATATCGGCTTCGACTCAATACATTGAAGTGCACATTTGGAGTGGGATCTGGTAAGTTCTTGGGATACTTGGTGACCAGAAGAGGCATTGAGGCCAGTCCAGATCAGATCAAGGCCATCCTAGAACTGGAAAGCCCAACATCGGCGAAGCAAGTACAGATGTTGACTGAAAATGCTGCAGCCCTGAATAGGTTTATAAGCAGAAGTTCTGACAAATGTAAACCCTTCTTCAGCTTAGTGAAGAAAGCCACAGACTTCTTATGGATAGAAGAATGCGAAGTCGCCCTGGCCGACTTGAAGAAGTATTTGACCACGGCTCCAGTTCTCTTAAATCCAGAACCTAGAGATGAGCTGTTTCTGTACTTAGTAGTTTCAGAACATGCAGTAAGCTCAGTGATAATCCGAGAAGAAAAAGGGAAACAAAGGGCTGTTTTCTATGTAAGAAAAACCTTGGCTGATGCAGAAACCAGATATTTACCCCTGGAGAAGTTAACGTTGGCCTTAGTAATAGCTTCAAAGAAGCTGAACCATTACTTTCAAGCCCACAAAATTGTGTTGGCCAAACAGTGGAAGTCTACATTAATGACATGGTCGTGAAGACCAAAGAACCTGAGGGTCATCTGGCCGACCTAAAAGTAATCTTTGATATCCTTAAAACATATCGGCTCCGATTCAATGCATCAAAGTGCACATTTGGAGTGGGATCTGGTAAGTTCTTGGGATACTTGGTGACCAGAAGAGGCATTG